GCACTTGAAAATATTTCAAATCAGTGGGACCGGATAAAACACATTTGAGAGTTTTAAAAGATATGAGAAACCTGATTAGTATCAATTTTGGCGTGATATTTCAATGTTCACTGGATAAAGGTGTTGTGATTGACGATTGGAGATTGAGTTATGTGATACCTCTGTATAAGAAAGGTCGGAAAGATTTATTTCAAAATTATCGTCCGGTGTCGCTTACGCCAATTTGTTGTAAGATCATGGATTCAATTTTGAAAAACCATATTATGAAGCATTTCCTTGAGAATAATCTTTTTTCAAAAGGTCAGTTTGATTTTATACCTGGCCGATTTTCGGTTTTACAACTTTTAAAATTTTAGGTTGCAGTAACAGAGGGAGTGGACAATGGTAACGAGGTTAATGCAGTCTATATATGGATTTAGAATAAGCATTTGATAACAATTCAAATAGTCGTTTATTGTTCAAACTTAGTCAGTATGGAATAAATAATAAAATAATAAATTGGATCAGGAATTATTTCAACAATAGGACCTTCCAGGTTAGATTGGACAGCACTTTATCAAAGCCAAGACTAGTTCCTATAGGAGTCCCTCAGGGAGGGATTTTGAATCCACTGCTATTTTTGATATATGTAAACGATATATCTGACGAATGTGATAATGTCTTGCTTTTTGCGGACGATTTAAAAATTTATAGAATTTTGAGGAGCGAAGAAGACAAATATAGTTTTTCACAAAATAATGTTAAAATTGTAAACTGGTTTAAATATTGAAAGTTAATGATAAATACAAATAAATGCCAGCTGCTGAGAACTGGCTTAAAAAAACCATGTTTTACTTACACAATATTCGATAGTGATGGATCGACTTTTAATCTACCAGAGGTTGATCAGGTATCAGATCTTTGAGTAATAATTGATGACAGGCAGAATTTCAGAAATCACGTGATGAAATTAGTACACAAAAGAAATTCCATGCTGGGTATGATTGCCAGAAATTTTAAAGGGCTTTCAAAAGATGCTTTTATGACCTTGTTCAAATCATTAGAGAAATCTCATGTGGAGTACATATGGAGTACAAGCTTGGTCTCCTTACAGAGTTGAATTAATAAATAAATTGGAGAAAGTACAAAGAAGAGCTACATGATTAGTATCTTCCTGTAAAGATCTTCCATACGACGAAAGACTGAAAAAACTAAAATTGCCCTCACTCGCTCACAGACGTCAAAGAGCTGATCTGATTCCGATGTTTAGAATAATTCGTGGTGAAGTTTCAGATGAGGTCAGTCCAACGTGTTTGTTTGCACAAGATGTTCAAACGAGAGGACATAATCTAAAGTTGGCAGCAGGAGTCTACCGCAAGGACTGTCGTAAATTTTATTTCACAAATAGAGTAGTGGATGTTTGGAGCAGGTTCCCCGCAGCCGCCGTCAATGCTGTATCTGAACACTTTCAAATTTGTCGTTGATAGTTTTTTGGTGATGCCATGTTGGACTGGAAATCTGACTTCTGATTTTTAATTGTGTGATTTTCGTGATGTCTGTATGTGTTAATTTTTTTGGGGGACTTTTGAATGTAGTTAGTATATTAATTTAGCAATAAATAATGTTTATATATGTATTTTTTTGGTATAATAATATTAAATTAGGTTTCTGATAAACTGAATTTGTGTGTGTTTTAAATAGGGAAAATAGTACATTGTGGACAAAGTGCAAATGGAGTAATGAGTGTGTTAAAGATATTGCAGATATGTTTTGGGAAAGGTATTTGATTGTTGGTATGTGGTGTTGTAACCAGTGTGTGAATCTATTGACAAAGGTGTATTGGGGAAGGTGTGGAAATATTTGACCAATTATAACAAGTTTATTTCAAATTTAGTTTTCGGTTGTTTCTGCTGCTTGTTTTGTATAAGTATTATGGAGATTCATTTACGTTCGTTTACAAATTTCTTTTGGTTTTTCGATTTTTTTTATATATAGTTTAGCCGTCAATGCTGTCTCTTTGAACACTGGAACTTTGAGTTTTCTTGTTAAAAATACTATAAATACCTGATGAATTACATATAACAATATCACAAACTCTATTACACTGGTAATGGTAAAAGTTACCGAATAAGCATTTATGTAAATGTAATTATAAAAAATGCAGTCTATAATAACTTGAATAAATTGAATAATATTGATAAAATAATTGTTTGGAAAATTGAAAAACTTAGTTACAAACTCAACAATGCGAAAAATACGGTATTTTTTAATAACTGTATATACGACGGTCTGAACCCAAATATATATATATATATATATTTATTGCATTTAGAGTGTCAGAAATGCAATTATTGATGGAAATCACAGCATGTTCGGTGTTAGTTAACTTCTTGTTTAACTTTTTGATTTTTCCATTTTTTTCCATTTATAACATTTTTAAATGTTGATAGGCGCTTAAATCCGGCTCTAAATCCGGCCACCAAATCCGGCCCCGACCGAATTTGGCCGGATTTGAAAAAAAGCCGGATTTTGGCCAGGGCCGGGGCCTAACTCCAGTGCATCACTAATATATATACTTTCATAAATATACTTTCGGAACTTTCAGGTGAATATAAATCCATTTTTTTCATTTATAACATTTGTAAATGTTGATAGGCGCTTAAATCCGGCCCTAAATCCTGCCACCAAATCCGGCCCCGGCCGAATTTGGCCGGATTTGAAAAAAAGCCGAATTTTGGCCAGGGCCGGGGCCTAACTCCGTGCATCCTTAATATATATACTTTTATATATATACTTTCGGAACTTTCAGGTGAATATAAATTTGAATACATGTATGGTAACATCATAACACACAAAAATGACAATCCAATCAGACAAATAATCAGTCAAATTCATACTGTAACCTATCCAATAGCTGAATTCCTTAACAGACTACACACCTAATAAATATAATCTAAAGTCAAGTAAAGAATTTATCGATATCTTGTCAGCATTCAATCCGACAAATGGTACTAAAATCGCATCATTGGATGTTGAATCCCTGTTACCAATGTTATCTGTAATAGGTACTATTAATATCATTCTTGATAAAGTGTATCGTTCCGATATAATTCCCACTGCCCACTAAATATTGCTAAAGACCATCTTAAAAAACTTCTTGAAATATGTGCTATGGAATCCCCATTTTATCAACTTTACAAACAAATTGATAGAATTGCCATGGGCTTGCCACTTGGAGTTCTCTTTGCTAATATCTACATGGGACATTTGGGAGAATCCACCTTCAAGAGTACACCACAACTTAAACCAGAAATATATTGCCAAAATATCAACGATATATTTGTGGCATACAACAACCCAGATACCATAGAAGAATTATTAACTACTTTTAATAGATCTAAATTAAATTTTACTATGGAAAAATCAATAAATAACAAACTACCTTTTTTTCGATACCTTAATACACAATAGCAACAACAAATACAAAACTTCGTTTATACTAAAACAAGTAGATTTTGTTGGAATGGACGGAGTGAATGCAGCGAAGATTACCAAACAAGCACGGTCTCATCATTTGTTAATCGAGCCTGCACACATTCTACGGATCCAGAGGATAGAGTAACTGAACTTAAACGGGTAACCAACATGCTAACGAACAATGGTTAGAAAAGAACATTTATTGAAAAAAATTATTAGCGAGAAAGATCGTGATGTAACAAACAAAAGTTACAAGGATAAAACAACTAATGACATAATACTTTTTTACCAAAATTCGTGTCAACAGCTTATAAGACCGATTAGATAATAATAACAAGGATTGTAAACGGTAATGTAAGAACTATCAATGAAAATGATAAATTAAAACTTAGGATTTATTACACGAACAACATGACCTCATCCCTTGTTCTTAAAAATAATTGCAATACTAAAACAGTATCTCGTATATTCTTTTGATTGTAAAATCGGTGATTGTAGGCACCGAAACAAAGAATATATCGGATTTGCTACTACGAATTTATCAAGAAGGTTAACAGTGCATATACAAAATGAAGCAATAAAAAACCATCTAATGGATTCATACCAAATAAAAATAACAAGGGAAATATTATACTCAAATACCAGAGTGTTTACAACCATAATATAAGCAATTTGAAAATGGCAGAAGCTTTATTAATAGAAAATAGAAACCCTGTAATAAACATCTAACAACAGGCTTTAACGATCCTACCAACAAAAAAATTAGTCACACAAGAAACAATGGAACTTAAAGTTCTTTTGTTAAAAATACTATAAATACCAAATGAACTGCATATAACACTATCACAAAATCTATTACACTGATGATGGTAGAGGTTACCAAAAAAAGCTTTTATGTAAATGTATATATAAAAAAATGCAGTCTAAAATTATTAGAAATTTGAAAAAATAGTGAACTTCATTGAACAGGTATCAGTTATAAAAAAAAAGGGTTTGACAGCTACAATTGAGTTCATTGGTAAAAGTAAATAGAGTAGGGCAACATCAAAAAAGCCATGGTAATGTTATGGTATAAAAAAGCAATGACCCCAAATTCAGCGCACACGCTCAGTGCCCTAGGGATAAGCATCCAAAAGCTCCATTAGACAGAAAATTAAGTCCAGACAAGAAAACTACAAGTGTTTCAATTACATTACAGCAGTTGTTGCTGTGTCTGAGACAGTTCCAAAAAGGCACATCGGGAGGGAGGGATGGCTTTATGCCATAACATCTTAGAGATCTGATTCTCGACAAGTCTTAAGCAACCAACTAAGCAGCGTTTGTCTTCCTGGAGTTGCCCCTTATCTTTTTGGGGAAGACTGTTTTATAAACAATACAGTTTAACGATACCTTAGGCGTTCTTTAGTCGTAAAACAACAGCAATGGCAATTAAATATTTATTTTTATTTATATGCATATTTACAAAATTATCAGCGACAGAACCAAACCTTACAAAATATTAAAAAATGAAGGAAAAATAAAAGCTAATAAAAAATCAAACAAACCGAATGGCGGCTTAGCAACAACGGGGTGATTCAATTCAGTGGCTGGTCCAATACCTGTTTGATTTTCTGCCATAACTCGAAACAAATAAGCATTTCCTTGAATGAGATTAGAAACTTTGCATTCAGTATCTGCACTTCTTAATTTTGCTGCAGTGCCCCAATCACCACCCATACGACTAACATCTTTTTTTTCAACTATATAGTAGAAAACTTTAGCACCCCCATCAAATTGTGGTGCTAACCATTCAACAGTGATAAAATCTTTGCCGGTATCTTTGACATGGAGTTTTTGAGGAGCAGATGGGATTGCTGTTTAAATCATTACAAATATTTGTTGTAATTTTTAAAATGCATTTATCAATATAAAAACAAAGCAATTATTAAAAATAGTGGATTTTGATTAATATCTTTTTACACAAGCGTTTAAAAAATATTTTAACTGTCCTTTGTCACCTAACTAAAACGTTCTAACGTTTAAAAGTTTGATCATCGTAAATTCATGGTGCAATTTATTATTCTTTAAATATCTAAATTGTTGTCTAACTTGTGTCGTAGTTAGTAATTAAATTTGTAGTTATATATATATATATAACTATATTGTCAGCTTCTAATATGTCACAATTTCACAATAAATATGAATGTCAAAAATTACGCTGTGTTGAGTCCATAATAAAAAAGTTGATAAATGCAAAATGGGCAAATAAATTTAACAAAATATATATATATATATATATTGGGACGAGGTTTTCAGCTATGCAAATTTCATTTAATATTTTGCCCACTTAGCATTAATAAACTTTTTGAAAATATACTCAACGATATGGAATTGTTGTAAATCGTATTTATTGAGAACTAGTGACATAATTTGGCTTCGGCTAACAACGTTGTTTCGGTGTTAACACCGTCACAGAGACTTGTGTGAGATACAAATATTGCAATAAATGGAAATGTAAACCAATTAAAATAAAATACAATACCTAAAATGTTACGTGTTGTGAAAAATAGCATTATATGAATAAATAATTTGAAGAGTCACGTTAAAAGCAAATTTAATACAGATAAAATTGAATAATTAGTGAAATAAGTTATAGTTTAACATTAAAATAAATAAATGGATATATATTTACGTAAAACTACTAAATAAATTTAAAATAATACGGCGATAGGTAAAAAATTTTGCATGATAAAATGAATGAATGTATGGAATATATATATATATATATATATATATATATATATATATATATATATATTGGTAATAGACCACCAATTGGTGTCGAGGTAACACCAAAGTAATATACCAGAACAGCAATTACACGCATCTTAAAATTGCAGAAACAGTCCTAATTGACATCAATAAACCAAAAATAAATATAGAACCAAAAATGACAACCTCACTTCAAACCCGGCGCTTAACCAACAACGAAAACAAAGAAGTAATAAAAACTAGCATTGTAAATAGTGACAAAGAAGAATATGATGCTATCGATGAAGAAAAGAGACCAAAGAAGATGACCAGCCAATAAAGAAACCTGACACCTAATTTCCATCTAAGTTCACTTTGACAAAGTCAATCTCCATCTAAGTTCATTTTGACAAAGTCAATATTTCCCTATATAAACAGCAGAAAGCACTGATGATGATTCATTCGGAATCGAAATATTGCCTTATTTGCAGCATGAATTCGGAAAATAAGTTTATTTTGAATTTTAATAAACTAAACGTTCACCAAAAAACTTTAGTGAAAAAAATTGAAAAAACGAACTACAAACATATTAACGCCAAACATTCGGTAGAATTTATAAAATATTGTAAAATATATATATATATATATATATATATATATATATATATATATAAAGACTAAAAATTTCTTGCATTTGTAAAAAGTACAATTTTTATTTAATTAGAATCATGTAAATTGTGCATTATGTTAATTTTGTCATGAATTAAAAATCGTGTTAGAATGAACAATTTGTGAACGGTGGCCTGCAACACAAGAATTTTGTTTTCTTTTAGCTTTGGCCTCCTAATCATTACCTAATTATTATTAATTTGGATTGATTGAATAAAATTTGGTTTGATT